AGGAAGAGGAAGACGACATGCCGAGATCTTACCGCATGCTGGCAGCCCACTTGCAGACTGGTTCACCCGAGTTTGACTACCGAGTGAACGCCTTCCTCGCGAACCGTGTGGCGATGGCCAGCATGGTCGCTGGTCTTCGTAACCAGGAATGGGCCGACAACCCGATCAACAAGATGTTTGCTGAGCAATTCCCCAACGCCACCAAACAGGCTCAAGCACTATCCCACAACTTGACCAATTCCATGTACTATCAGCCCGTCGCTCCCAGCAACGCTCGTCATCAGCAAGCTCAATCCGAGGCTGCTGCGACTAGCCCAATGTCGCCGACCTTCAGCACGGTGAACTTCCAGCAAGGAACGCAGCAACGAGAGAGGACGCAGTCTGTGGCCTCCCCGATGGACATGTCTACACCGGTAGCCCGTGACCCTGCCACCTCGCCACCAGCATTGTCTCCATCCTCGGAGGCTGCCGTTGCCACCCCGTCGACCCGATCCGCGTCCACCTTCCCGTCCCCAATGACGAGCCTGGATGCAAGCCTGTTCCCGCCAGAGTCCTCATTCACGTCTGAGTTGCCCATGGATGCGAAGATGATGGTACCAAACTTTGACATGAATGACCCCATGTCACAGATGTTCATGGGAAACCCCTACCAACAGCAGGCGTGGTATCCAGACATGGCTGATCTGAAACACGATTCCACGATGGACAACCCGACGCTGTCATCACACGAGTATTTCAACGGCCACCTGAACCCGTACACCCAACGATTTGACGACGGGCACAGCGAGTGCACCACACCGGGGCCGAGCGCCACTGAGAACTGGGAGTCATTTCTTGACTTTGGCGATCATAACGAGAGCGGTACCGTCGACCCGTCCTTGTAATGGACAAGCACGGGCATAACACCCTCCCGTGTCTGTAGGATTGTAATGTGGAGGAAATGAATCTGGACACGAAATGATGAAGTGACCTACTGGTTCATGAGCAAAGACTTTTTAGAGTTAGCATTGCATGGTCGGTCACAAAGGGATACCCGGGGGTGATATTGGCTATTTCACGAATCACGCGGGCGTTTGGGGTTTTTATCGGATACCTCTTACCCATGACTTGATGGGTTTCGGCAAATTTTATTTAAGGTCACATGTCCTTTATATGGACTCAGGGGATTATGCCCCTTTTTCTTTCAACAATCGGAAGCCGTCGGAGGACATGAATCGAACACGCTGAAGCAAGGCCAATGTTTGGTTGTCGAAGGATGGAAGAGGACGTGTGCCGTCCTGTACGTGGAGATGCGGAAGTTGGTCGAAATCTCGAGTCACGGTATGAATGGGCATGGAGGAAGGCAGTGAGAAAAAAAAAGGAAAGAACCACGTATGAAGAAAAGAGTCGTTGGCAAGGCCTCGCCACATGGCGACGACAGTGCGAAAGTAGAGAGCTGGAACATGCATCTACCGGCGAGGCTTTGAAGTCGGGACTGCCGAAAAAAAGTAACAATAAGAAAAAACACTGATTCATTACCAATACTTGTTCCATATGCTCCTTGTTTTTTTGATATGTTTGCTGGCTTTTCCAGACGATGAGGAACAGCGGGTATCTGCGGCCCCGCCCCGTGGTTCAGGTGGCAAACTCGGCGCCCGCCGTCGAAGCCACCGACCCGAGAGTATCGGTTTTCTGACTCACCTGGTGAAAAGCATACTCTTTGACGAAGGGCGTTTGAGCTGATATTGTGGGGTCGACGCCGCGCTTTAGCGGCGCAGCACGCAAGTTCCTGATACCTCGCGCTGCGGTGCCCGCGAGCAAGTCTATGGACATGAGAACCAACGCATGGGCGTCGGTTTAAAGTCGCCAGAGGGGGGTTGCCTTTGGGGATAAACGGGCAGAGATGAAGAAGGCGGATGAGGGACGACCTACGGGGTGCTGTTTGGCGGACCTCGTGGTATTGATGCGCCACCGTTGATGGGGGCGTGTTCTGGGCGGCCTGTTCATGCAGCTTTGCACCAGAACGTGGCTCGACAGGAAAACTCGATTTGTAGTTCTGTTCACCCTGGGGTTCACGCTTGTTTTATATTTTCTTCAGTGGTGGTGTGAAGGTAGGCGATGTTCATCTGTGAGCTTGAGGTATGTATGTCGTGTGGCTGCTTCGGTGTCGTGGAGGTGGCGAGGTGCCTCTGGTTTGTGTGCGTGGGTGAAGCGTGGTCGCTCATTGGACGATGTATATAATGCTGCTTTCTTCATTTGGAGGTGACGGATCGAAGACACACCAACACGCCGAATTCTAATTCGACGTGTAGTCCTGTTTGTGTTATCTCGATTCTCGTGGTGCGGTTGGAATGCATGGGGTGCCTCGTGAGTAGTCGGTCACCATGACGAATGGTTCCTGCTGTCAGACCTCTTGCCGTGATGGCATATATGGACGGATCAGTCCAGGACGATAAAGAGGGAGACTGGCGAAGTCTTCACGATGTTCTCGTGAAAAGGTTCTGCCGCTTCTAGACCTCGGAATTATCAAGACGAGTGGCTCGAGTAACTCAGCATCAACAACTCCAAGAGATGCGATAGCTACATTATCTCCTGGTTCTGTACAAGATCAGTGCTTTGGGAGGTTTTATACTTGTCTTTTACATGCGTGTTCACGCTTGGCGACGGTGGGTGCATGGGTGTTGATGGGGATGTAAAATGTGCTGAGGTGGTGAGTGGGAAGCGAAAGAACCACAGCAAAATGTGGTGTCTCCTGGCCATAGACTGAGCATGTCTTGTCTCCGTGTCTTGCCTTCAATTATAGAGGTTTCATCAGTTGAGTGTCTGATTTGAGACTACTGATGGTTCATAGCTTGCTACGAGGGGTTCTAATCAAGGCGGCGACGCTGATGAAGGGCACCGGCGATGTCGTTGAGTCGATAGGTTTAGACTCTTCGAAATACAAACTTTGATGCTGAAATCTAGCTGGATGGGGTTATGAAAGTCACATCAAATGAGTGTTGGTATTATGGAAAAGCGAGCAACAAATGACAGATGGGTGAGGATTGTAAAGCTTTCGGTCCACACGGGGATTGGAGCACTCTCACCGGGTGGTGATCAGGAAATACTGCGAAAGTTGAAAGTCGTCAAGAGCCTGGGTATAGTAGCCGGTTGAGTGTATTACCACAAGATAGCGGCGAAGAAGGATGGCAGCACTCTGGAAAGGGTCTTTTGATCACGAGAGGGATCTAGGGCGGCTTTATTGTCCTTTACAATTTGCGCCACAGCTTAACATCGCGAGCTTTGCTCTCACCAAGAGACCTGCCGAATTGGGGTCGCCTGGTCGATGGCCTTTGTCAACCCCGTTTACGAAGATGATTTATACCCATTAGTAGATAGATGGTTTGATTCGGCGGAATCGCTACCTTAGGACACTGTGTTTTGTTACAAGAGGAATATTGCCAGCGCGTCTACGAAACGCAAGCCAAATGGCGCGGCTGTGGTTTGAATCATTCTACACCACAATACCTTACTAGAAAGACGTTAATATGAGCGTGGGACGCCTCGGAGAGTCATTTCATTATGACAGCCTTCCTGATGATGAGATAATTCTTTCAAATTCGGACTGAAGAATTCATGGACGGAGGATGGCGGCAGATCAGCGTGCCGTCAACATATCGCTGACTGACTTTGGCGTCTCTGAACTCCTGGAGAATGTTGCGACATGGGTGAATCTTTAGTGTTCTAAAAATAAGAGAAGATGTTTTGCCACATCGATAGGGACTTTTCAACCTTGTATGTCTTTCCCACGCTTTTACAGCCCCTTTCCCGCTCATCGGCCCTCGTCAACCAGCGGCAGGAAATTTAGCGGCACGTATGACGCACCCGCATTCCAAGCTTGAAGTTCGTCGTAATCGCAGCGTCGTGTGTCTGTTGTCCAAGCCAAACACACACAGCCGTCGCTTTCCGAGGGACGCGACCCCGCTCGGTGACCCCGCGCCCGGAAACACGGACTTCGGGGCCCACTTTCTCGGCGCCGGGCGGATTGAAGTTTGCGACTTCTTCGGTTAACTCTTGTTCGCCAGCCTACGGTGCATGCGGGCATTTAAACGCTTCAAATCTTTCATGGTCTGAAGTCAACCAATGTGACCTTTCGGCGATTGTGGTCGTAATCAGCAAAGCTAAAATGATTACAAGTCGATGTGACTGTATTGCGCGGTCGTCAACTGAAAAGTGCACACGAACGCCAATATGAACGTCATATCTGCCTGTCGTTTCTATTCATCTCTGCGTATTTCGCATGCTAAGCATGCTAATAATCACGGCACGATCAAGGTGCAAGAATACCATGCCTCGGCAACACGGACTCCGTTAATCACGCAGCCATGGATGGTGAAGCTTGGTACCTGAACCAGTGTTCGGCTGCGTAAACCGGACCCTTCGCTTTGGGCTCATATTACTTGGTTGCTAAACCATCTGAGAGATAGATCGCATGAGCATTTCTCGTAGCTCCCTTGTTTAGACATCTGGCTGTGGAACGCCTCGGCGACGAATTGTCGGTTAAAGTAGAGTATTCTAATTGGGCCTCGGTATCGACGCATAGTAGTTATTGGGATCGTTGTCTTGGGCGCCACCGCCCGTTTGGGAGATCCGATAATTTCTGCTTCAAGGCTACTTGCTATGGCAGCCACCATGGATGCGGTTTATATTTGTGGACCTCACTATTGGAAACACATAGTCGTAGAACCTGTCCACATCGACCGAATAAGTGCAAAGTATCAAAAGTGAGGGAGTGGGACGTCTGGTATAAGACAGATAACGATCGTTTGAACTGAATGAATCTTATCTCAGTAAAGAGGAATTCGCACAGACGTCTGCCAAATAACACAAAGTCAGCCAGATATCTCTTCCTACTCGCCGGATTGGCTTGATAACACGCTAATTCCCATTGGCAAGCGACTTCGTCGTTGCAGCTATCGATGCCTTAAATTTGAAAAAAGAAAAACACAGAATTGATCTCAAGAAGGGCTGACGCCACAACTCTAAGCCCTCAAACCGACCAGCCAGTTTGTGAGAGTTCTTTCTGTGGGTTTGAGACGATCAGGGAGTGTTTCTCTGAAAGTGATGAAGCCAGTGCGGTGAAAAACGTCTCTCTCCTGGACCTCACCGGTGATAACTAATGTATCTCCTGCCCCATGCAGGTGCCCGTTGATCAACAGCGCCTGGTTCCACGTTTGCTTGTTCTCTATCCCGGCAGAAGCAATCTCCACCCCAAATATTGTCACGCTCGTCTCCAGTTTCATCTTCCACCGTCCATCCTCTTCTCTCCGGACTCGGCACTCCACGGCTCTAACCCTCAGCAATCCACTATCATCCACCCTTGAGTGCTCACCGAGCGGTCTGGTCGTGCTGGCTGTGTCTCCCAGCGTCCACTGGCCGTCATCTCCTCTCTGAGCCTTCGGGAGCCAGCAGGCGCCCGGCTTTTGGCTGGGAGGCATGGCCATGATGGATGCCAACACAGAGGTCGTCTTGAACACCCTTGTGGCGGCCTCCTCAAAGCCTATGCCATACTCCACGGCAACTGCCTCTCCTGGCTGTAGCATTCCCAGGACACCGTATACCAGATCTTCCTCCACAGCACATTTCCTAGCCCCCATATCCTTCCAGAATTCTACCAGCGACGCCTTCCCTTCACCGTACCTTTCCATGGCTCTAGCGGCACTGCTGAACGGGTGGTTACCCACTCTTGCCCGAGCCTCTCCATCACCGACAGAAAGAATACGCCCGTTCTTGTTTCGGGACACTGCCACTCTGCCTGCGATAGCCTCTGGACGTCTCACCATCAACATCAACAAGAGACTGTATTCTTGCTGGCTTATGACGCCGTCTTTCCCCACGAGCAGCAGATTCTTCGAAAGGGCTGCCTCTTGGTACGTCCACACGCGTGACTTCCACACACTCTGGTCCACCGCTTGTAAAGTAGCTTGCCACATGTCCATATCGTGCGGTATATCTCTCTTGCCTCTCCCGAAGCAAGTTTCTGAGATTTCGGCCTCCTTCAAGAGAGCGATGCAGACCGCGGCTCCCTCATAGTACTCTGCCATCCTCGGAATCTCGGCTTGCTTGTCTTCGATAGAGTCTTGCTTGACACACTGCTGGTCTATCCATATTGCAGTGATGCCAGTTCCCTCAAGAATCCCACGACACGTATCGACGACTTGTCCTGGGTCATCCCATTGTGTCCATACATAGGATACGATGGCGTATCGCTGTCGATTTTTAGGCTCTGTCACTTCCCCAGTGAGCAGGCTTAGCAGTCGGGTGGGCTGTCCCAAGGTATATGCTCCTCTAAGCACATACTCCGCATCCTCTGATAGCCGCGGACTGCTCGGATGCCCACTCCCCGCGCCTGCCTGTAACCCTGACTTCTGTTTAGAGATATCGATCGCTCTTGGATGAGCACTGCCATGCCTTTTCCTGCCCATCTTGAAGCATCGAGCTTGTCAGGTGAAGAAAACCAATGCACTTCAATCAGGCAGTTGGTTCCGTCTACAGCTTCGTGAACTGCAGACCTACCATCGCCTTGAGTTCGACTACTTCACGTACTGCGGGGAAGGAGGGATGTAGCGTATGGGTGCAAGACTGATCAAGAGTTTTTGGGGAGACCCTAGTGGTACTGCAGTCCAGACGAGTAAGGAAAGCGGTAAGATAAGGACTCAAACTCCGAGAGGTCAACTCGTAACAAAGACAACTGCAATAAGTGTTAAGAAAAAGGAGGAAAGAAAGTGCTTACTTATCCCACTCGTGCCGGTGATGTGGCTACAGTCACGTGGGATTCTACGACCTCTCGCCAATGGTAGAAGGTGTCGTTGGTTGGTTGGCTGTCGGTGGGGTATGGAAGAGCATGACCGAAGTTCCAGAGTGCTGACAATCCAGCAAGAATTGCGTTGTTTCAACATCAATAAACCAGCGCAGAAGATCCGCCCCTCGGTTTAACGAGACTCGCAGTTGCAAACCTCGTTTTGACATTGGCAAAACCAACCCGATCACGACACCGACCCAATATCCCGATGCTTGTGCGTCTGCCTCTACGTGTCGTTGGCGCCTGAGTATGAGGCCTTGTTGATGCCACCAGTGCTTCGCACGCCGTCGCTGAAATTTTCAGTCTTTCGCGAGATAATAGAAATTTCTACAATAACACGAAATCGTGAAATTAAGACTCGGCCGTCAGATTGATTTTGGGGAGATACGCAAGGGCGCATAGAGGAGCATATATTTTTATCCAAGGTTTAAATCCGACTCCTAAACAGGCAATTGCGGATTGCGATACAAACGAAGACTGAAACCACAGGGATGAGAACACTCCCAAACAATCGCGAATTGGGATGCCAGGCTTCCAGTCGCTCGGAAACGTCCAAGTCTACACAACATTAAGACTCCATTTTAGCACCGCGGCTATCCATGTACAGAAGCCACATCGTGACGTCGAATACACCGGCAATGTTTAACGCAGACAGAGACAGACGGGAGATACCACTATAGATTGTAGAGACGCTCTTGAGAGACAATATGGCTTCGGCGTTCGATATCGTGCATGGGTGAGTGATGGACGGCTACGAAATCCCGACTATGCAATGAAGGAGGTTTTGCGAGACGCCATTCTTGAGGAACCAGAAGCTATTTGTTACATGATTTTAAGTATTTATTTCGGTCGATCCGATACGCGCAAGTGCAAATGGGATCGATCTGTCATCACAGCAATTTCTTCCCACAAGCCGAGAGCTCATTTGGAAACCTCTCCTTTCGTGCATGACTGCCCACACAATTGACGACTGGTAAATGTAAGCAAGTTCACAAGAAACGGCAATTGACAATTTCGAACTACTCATTGGCAACTCAAAATTCAAGCTGGCCACACGCTAATTTTGCGTGCTTGGGTTGATACATCGTCGTCCTCCCAGATGATCTCACACTTATTCGTCAACCCGATCGGTCACACACATCCTTTCATTCGGCATCACAGTAGCTTCGCTTCACTTTGGCCACATGACGACTATTCGCCGGGGCTCGCGTCCTTTCGACGTCGTGCAGTGAAGGGAGGTTCATTCTGCTGTTGTTCAGCGACTTCCCAACGAAAAGGTCTTGGATTTATAGATCTGCTTGGGAGAAGTACGATTGCATTCGGTGACAGTAATCATCGTTTCGGGGACCCCTGATATACAACATATTTGCATTTAAATTTGCACAGATATTATTCATTTTGGACGCCGGGTATCATACAATGGCTAGTTTTCTTCCGCGTTCTCCTCCACCTGTTCCTTCTTCTCCTTAGGTTGGGGCTTGCCGGCCTGTGCCCTCTTCTGCTCCAAGTTCCTCCTCTGCCACGGCTTCAGCTTCACCTCCTCACCTTCACCCTCGGCTCCCTTCGCCCACTTAACCCAATCAGACCGCCTCGTCTTCCACATGTCGCCCTTCCACGTCCTCCAGACACTGCGACCAAACCACGACTCACGCAGCGTCCGCTCGTGTTCCGCCAACGAGGCCATAATGGTCTGCTTCACGTGGAGCGGAACCGAACGGTCCTTGCCTTGGGAGGGAATATCGACGATGGCGTTGACAACGTTGTGGCCGGTCTGAGACTGGGCCAGATCGCCGACATGGGGTGCGAGGGCACCAACGAGGGCCTTGTGGAAAAATTCGTTTTGGGGTGCGGCGGGACTGGCGAGGGCGGTTGTGAGGACGCCCATCTTCGGCATGGACTGTGTCGCGAGTTGGTAGAGTAGATCGGAGGGGAGGGCCATGAGAGACTTTTGAGCTACCTTGGAAGGCTGACCCGGGGTCTTGAACATCGTCGAGGCGAGGTGGGCGCCGTGCGCGGCGATGGCAGTCTTGTTCTGCGGCGCTTGGGATTGCTGAAACTTCTGCTCCTCCTCTTCGGGCTCTTCCTCGACAAGATGGCACAGCTTCGGAATGAGGTCCTTGGGGTTGCCGCCCAGGGCGTCAGTGAGAGCCTTGGTGAGGGCGGCCTTCTCCTCGTAAGCCTGGCGTGCCTCGCAGCGCTCGAAGAGAGTCTTGAGGACATTGTAGCGGTGCTTCGTGACCAAGGTTGGCACTATGGGCAGAATCTTCTTAGCGGCTTCGACGAGGTCGTCCTTGCTGAATCGGTTGAGAGCGCGGAGCGCGGGGTAGGATGCGATGTCGTTGCGGACGTAGGTTGCGATGCGCTCGCCGAAGAAGTTGTGGGAGAGGGCCTTGAAGATCTTGCCCGGGCAGTGGGTGATGAGGGTCTCGAGAAGGCGGGAGCCAATCTGGTCGTACACCATGCTGTTGACAAAGTCTGCAGCCTCGGAGGTGGTGTCGCTGAGAGACTTGGGGGCATCTGGGAGCAGTCTGTAGAGAAGCGAGTCTTGGTTTGACGCGGACGACTTGTCGTTCTTGTGGTTGAGAGAGATGTCGAGTTCGAGGAGAAGCTGGAGCAGAGGGTTGCCCGTCGGGTGCTTCGCGAGAACGCGCAGAGATGTGAAGTCCATACCAGATACGGCGTCCTGGATGATCTTCTTGGTGGCCATGGTGAAGGACTCCGGGACAGCCCTCAGCTGGGTGTTGAGATCCTGTGTGTTGGCATTGGCGCCGTGAACGGTGATGTGCTCCTTCTTTTTGCTCTTCAACAAGGACTTGGTCGCCGCATCTTCCAGCGGACGACCAGAGAGCACTACCAGTAGAACTCTGAGGGTGTGGGATCCAAATCGGTCGGTGAGCAGGAAGCCCATGTGTTGCTCAAATTCGTCCAGAGTCATGAGGAAGAGGTTCTCCATTGTGCTCTCTTCCACAGGCTCCTCTCCATCCCGCATCTCCGTATCTTCCTCGCTCTTCTCCTCGGGGACAACGCCTCCCAGCTCTTGTGTAACGACGGGTGCAGATTGCAGAAACAGCGTCTCGCAGCAATGGCTCGCAAATCTGTGCTGGACAAGAGACAAGAAGTGCGTCGCGAACGCGTTGAAAATTTGCTTCTTCTGCCTGGTGTTCGACAGAAGAATCAACCGCTCCATCAGACGCGACAGCGATTGACTGCTAGCCAGCTTGAGCTCCTTGCCCTGTGCCTCCTTGTAGACGCTCTGGAGGAAGATGTCGCGATCCTCGGGGGAGGGGAACTGGTTCAATTCGAGCATCTCGTCGGCGCGGCGGAAGTACTCCTGCTCTTCGTCGGCGAGCATACCAAAGAATTCCCTCTCCGGGCCATTGCTGGGGAACGACTGTTGTTGCTCGCCCGCATCATCGTAGGCTTGTTGCTCCCCTTCTTCGCCTTGTTCTTGCGACTCGTCCTCGGTACGTCTGCGCTTCGACTGCCGCTCCTCGTCCTTGGCATCGTAGTTGGCTTCGTGTGTCTCTCTCCTCTTCTTCTTTCGCTCGTCGCGAATAGCTTGACGTTTCGTTCTCGGCTTTGGCATTTTGACGGAGGCTGAACGGTGTAATTGCCAATCGGGTTGCTGAGGAACAGAGCAAGAGTGGACTGTCGCATCCAGTGTTGGAGAGCAAGCCGAAAAAAAATTTGGTCCCAGTTTACTATCTTATCGCTTATCTTATCGCACCCCACTAGCCCCTGCACTGTCATTCTCGACTGCATGGCCCCTGCCAACCTGCCTCCAGTGTAAGTACCCGACTTCGACGACAACATGATTCTCTCCCTTTGCTTACCATCTTCACTGTTCCAGCAATTCCTAACTCCATCCTAAGGCTTAATTTCACTTGTCGAACGTCGGACGCATGTCACTCAGCCGAGCCAGCCAAGATGCTCTGAACGGCTCACGTCGGAGGACCAGAACTCAACAACAGTCGGCCAACGACTCTTTTTGTGTCTATCTCTATGTTTCTACCTAACTTTTGATACCCAGTCCATCTTTTTATTTTCGTCAAAATCGTTTCAGATATGTGCACTCATCACGCGCTACACCACGACCTCCTTGCCAACCTCCTCCAAGGCCTTCACCAGACCATCCACAGTCCCCTGCAGCGTCTGGCAGTTGACGACCACACGGAAAAAACTGCCCTGCTCTCCAGGGGCATAATCGATCATGAAGCCACGCTCGATGAGCTTGTGAACCATTTGGCTGGTGCGTTTGGTGTTCGTCTTGGAGTCTTCCGCAAGCTGACCGTTCGGTGCATAGTAAAAGCAGACCTGCAGACACGGCGGTGGGTTGCTGGACACCAGGACGAAGTTCTCGCTCTTTTCAACCAGAGTAGCCAGACGCTCGGCCAGCGAGAATGCATGGTCGATCTGCTTCTCAAATCCGCCGGCGCCGTAGTAGATCCAGGCCAGAGCCAGCTTCAGACTATCACCTCTGCGGCCGCACTGCAGGGTCAAGTCGGCAAGGTCCCAGACGTCGCCATCTTCGTCCACATTGTGGAAAAGGTATCCGGCAGGCAAAGTGTTGGCCTTGTGGAACACCTTCTCGTCTGGCGTCAGGAGGAACGAGCACGTTACCGGCACGTTCATCATCTTGTGCGGGTTCACCGTCAGAGAGTCGGCCAGATGGGCGCCTTGTAACTTGGACTTCTGCTTCTGGGAGAAGATGACAGATCCTCCCCAGCTGGCATCGATGTGGAACCACAGTCCGAACTCTTTGCAGATGGCGGAGATCTCCTCGAACGGGTCATAAGAGCCCATCACCGTCGTTCCAGCCGTGGAGTTGACGTACAGAGGGGTCTTGCCCTCAGACTTGGCACGAACGATCTGCTCCCGCAGAGCATTCGGGATCATGCGGCCCTCGGAGTCAATAGGCACCGCCCAGACGCTTGACGCCCCAAGACCGCATGCCAACGCACTCTTCTCAACAGAGTAGTGGCCGTGAGCACTCGTGAAGATGACAAAATCATACGAACCGTTGCCAGTCTTCTTTGTCTCGGGGTACAGAGCACTGCGAGCTACTACCAGGGAAGTGAGGTTGGACGCGCTGCCTCCTTGGCATGTGACTCCTCCCGCTCTAGGGCCGGTGAACCCAAATAAGTTTGCGAACTTCCGAGCGGTAATCTTTTCGATGATGCTCAAGGCGGGCGAAACTTGGTAAACGTGGAGCTAACACTGATCAGAGGATGTTTGGTTGCAAAAGACGGATGACTCACGTTGGTGTTCAGTACCGACAAGAGAAGATCGGAAACAAGCCCAACCTAAGCATATTAGCGAAGCTCCTGCACTCATGCGAGCGGACTGACAGGAGTGTTGCTGGCATACAGCTTATCCATGAAGCCTTGGTCCCAGGTGTTGACGCTGTACCTCAGGATCTTCTGCACCACATTGAGCAAGCCCTCTTTTCCGAGTCCATCGCCCGCGGGAAGGGAAAGCTTCAGCTTCTCAACCAACGCCTCGGGCTTCAGAGTGTCGACGAGAACATTGCTTGGAACTCCGTCGATTTTTACTGATGTGTTGCCCCCGGCCTTCTGTGGCGCGGCCTCATCTGCAGCTCTGATGTACGGGACAATCAATCCCTTGACTGCATCAAGCAGCTGCACGGGGCAATCGTCAGCCGGGCCATCTTCCATGAGAAACGTACTGCTTGAGTCGAGCACTCACATCGTCGACTTCATCAGCTCGACGCAGTTGCTGCGGGGCGGCGTGGCTACCGTTGATTCCATTCATGATGCTCGTCAGGACCGGATGAAACTGGCAAAAATTCTGTCGCGGAGTTAATCCCGACGAAAATATTCGAGTCAAAGTTTTTTCAAATAGATGAAAACTTCCGGACGCGAGTCAACCTCAACAGAACGAATCCAACCAGCAAACCTTCAATACTGGAGTATCCTGTCAGGATGAGCAACGACAAAGAAATTCTTCAACGGCCGGTGCTCTGCCCGATGACGGCACATCGGCGTGATTTGTCGCGACTGCGGCCGGGGTTAGCCGCCGCCGCCGCCGCCGCGGGGACGGATTTCATAATCATCGGCGATTTTTCGTCATTTGACGGCGCAGTGGTTCGGCCAATCCGCTTCCCATCAGCTGCATGAAGATCACACTTCGACATCCTTATCAGGTCGGCATGTTCTAATTCCTTTGGACACTCCGAGAAAGATTTTCGGCCCTGCGCAAACACAGGGTACAACCCCTCCATCCGCCAACACGGCCCCAGACCAGTATGACCCGGACCCGACAGCCGCTAACTCAGGCGGCGGCATTTCTAAGACACGCGGCCGGGCCTGGCCGTGTCTGGCTGTCCCGCCCGCGCCGTCCCTTGGCTTCCATCTAGGCCTGTTTCACCGTGACGCCGGTCTCTTCGCTGGCGATCATGTTGCGGGAGAGACTGGACCGATTTCTCTGGAAGCAGGCTATTCGCTGCCCGTGCTGCTTCAATAAGACCGACCATATGCTTTGGCCCAAGATCAGTTCATCATGTTCTGTCACCCACCAAGTACATCAGTCAACACCAGGGTTTTGTCACCAATATACGCAGCAAGCGACAGATAACCATCGCCTGAGTCCAATTTGGAATGGAACGATACGTCCTTGTAGATGGGCTTTGTTTGCAGCCCCCAATGACACGTTTGCAGGCCTGGGGAAGCGAAGGGGCTGGTTTCTGACAAAAGGGCGATGTACCTGGCCCCGGAGCCTAACTCTCACCGCAACGTTCTCTCACCCCTGCATCGAAGTTTTCTCCTTGTCTCTCGACAATCTCATTGAATCTCGTTGATCTGCTCGCCCGCAGATGACCGCGAAAACTCTGCCCGTCAGTCGTCAACATGGCACTCACTTCCTGCATCTATCATGGCAGCGCATGACAGATCCCGACGAAGCGAATCTGCTAGACTCACAGCCCGTCCGTGCGCGTCTATTCGAAGGCCGAGCGGTGGACTCGCCATCTCCCGGCTGTGATTAAACGGAGATGGCTCCGCATGGCAAATCACCGCCGGCATTTGCTTGCTTCTCGAAGGGGTGGCGACCGATGCGGCGATGGAGCATGAACCTGCAATTGACAGACGACATGAGTTTTAGAAATCACGGGGAATGTTTCACGGATTGCCACGAGCTGGAGACCCTTGGAGTAGGGACGAAGTGCCGGGCATAAGTGTGATCAATGCAGGTGGCGTGGCATCTGACAAAGGCTTGAAACAGGCACATCGTCATGGAATGTGCTCACCACGCTGTTGATGCGCAACCGAGGGCAACTGGACTGTGAGCAAACATCGTCGACGAACCTGATGCATGCACGCAGCAGGGCTGCATCTAGGCTGCGCGACGGGGCCCCGAGGACTTGCATGCAGCCGCCTTCCCGCGGATGCGCGTGCCTGACTGCCGCGACTCGGTCCAATCCGTCGCGCAAGCAGACCAAGGAGGAAGCTAGCGGGCCGACTTCGAGCTGTACCATTGACGCGGTGGCGTACAGGGACCGCCGTCGACAAACCGACACACGATTTCGCATGATTGGTGCTGCACTTTGCATCCTGTTGGCACACGTGGTACACGGCACGGGAATTCAGGAACCAGGCACAAAAGATACCATAAGAGGACGGGGAAGCGTCTCGAAATGGGCAAACACGCATGGCCATCTGCCATGGAGCCGGGGAATCGAGGCCAAGACGATGCGACAGCAAAAGCGTCATCAGGTTTCCGTCACACCGGAACTCGCAGGTTTCCTTTGCCTCCTGGGCCTACGCCACTTTGGGGGAAGGTCGGTGGTGGTGTTCGTCTCCCTGTATGCAGCCCTGCAGCATCGATTCGTCGGAGTTCGTTGCATTTTTGTGGTGGGATGGCGAGACATCGGCCGAGAGAACGAGATATGCTTGTTCTGCGTGAATGACAGATTCTGGGGAGGGTCGAACACTGGGCATCCATGACCAGGCTCAAAACTCCAAGCAACTTTATTTGCGAAAAATCGCACGATAGCGACGTTGCTGTAAGGCATCAATGGCCAACCAGCGCCATGCCTAAGAAGGATCGCAAGGTTTCAGCGAGCTAAACGCCTCGGGAGAAAATCATCAACGGTTTTGTTTGTTCCCCTCGTGCGGTGCCTGGTTCCTGGGCCTTGAGAGGCGATCACCTGCCGTGTTCAGGGACGGGCCACCAACGACTCCAAGCAGCAAACGAGCAGGCTGGGGAGTGATTTGCATTGGGCCTTGGGCCAGCGAGCGAACGAACTAGGAGCGGCGTGGCGGTTTTTGGGCCGAAAAATAAAGGTGGCTGCGAGTGATGATACAGTTGAGCTAACAGTGATCCATCCACGTAGGACTGCACGTAAGCGACAAGGTTTCTCTCTACTTTGCAACCATTCATCCGAGTTGTTGAGTTTGAAGAAGGGGGGCTGGGATTGAGAGGATTGGAAGTCTGCAACTAGAAGTGCAAAAAAAGGGGATGAAGATGTCTCTGTTGCATGTTGCTTTCTCTTCCTTCACCGACAGAGTTCACCCCCAGTCCCTGAAGGCTTTCTTTTTGCTGCAGATATTGAATTGCACATAGATCCACTACCCACGCCTCATTTCTCGATATCGGGCGGTCAAAACAGGTAGGAGGCTCTGGGCTCTGACTCTGTTGCGCTCTCAGATCCATACCCAAACACATGTAATCAACTGAATCGGTCCCAATCTCATTAAACCCCCCAGTCTGCACCACTTTGCGCACCGACACGATCCCGGCCGAGCGCACGCAGCAACACCCTGAACTCTCGGGACGACATCTCCAGAAACAGCAAAGAAGCCATCTGCCCCCCATTCTGTCAGGTGGAAACATTGGAAGCACAGGAGCGAGGAAGAAAAAAAAAATTGATGAGTCGAATTATTGCCAGCGAGTATACGAAAGTTTGTACACGGGAAGAAAGGGGCAAAGAACAGCACAGGACACTGCAAATTTGCATCTCTGCTTGTGCATCCACCGAGGATTTTCATACATGAAGTCGCCCCTTCGTCATAACTGTACATTCGAACAGCGATCCCGACATCTTGCACAGCTATCAGTCACAACCACACACAAACAGCGCGGGGCCGTGACAACATCTGCATCTGTCCGCAACACAACACTCACTACCTGCAACGCCACCAAGCTTGTTCAGTACTTGGACACAAACCCCAGCCAAGCCAGCCAGCCCATCTCGTCGGAACTGCAGCAGAAAGGACCGCCGAAGCAAGCAAGGAGCTCCCCTCCTGAAGCTTCACCCCTCCCTCCACAAACGGTCCCCTCCCAGCGCCGAGACAGAGCCGCGCAGCAGTCCGAGTCGCAGCCAAACACAAGCAGGAGCTGGGGATACTTGGATTGACCGGCTTCATCCCGACAACAGAACGGGGTGCTTTCTTACGCTCGAGCATCCAACACACGGACGAAGGACTTGCAAAAAGGGCAGCTTCTGCGCATTTGTTTAGTCCAGCATTGCTTTTGCACCTGCACCCTCCTTGCCTCTCTCGTGTTGTTCTTATTTTTACCTTGCTCCTCGTCTTCCTGCGTTGACGTCTGCGCCTGCCTCTCTCGACCGGGAATCGCAGTACTGACCCTTTCTTTTTATTGCTTTTTTGCCTTCCCGCCCCCAAACTTCGGACAATCAATCACTCCAAAGTCGCCGCACCGAACCGAAGAGCAACGCAAACGCAACGCAACACGCAACCTACCAAAATAGAAGGAGCTGGTCCGCAGTCAGCAGCACCGACCGACATACGGGATCAAAAAGCAAGCGCATCCCCCTCCTTCCCTGCGCCGGCCTGCCTTAGCCCACGTCCACCTGCCCACTAGCAATCGCCCGCCGTCTTGCGCAACCAACAGCACCCTTCGTCATACCTCAGATTCCCGCAATCTGCCCGCACCTGCATCTCACAGGCTGGCCTACCTTGGCTCACGCCCACCACCACCAACAACTCTCACCTGTCGACCGCATTGCGCTGCATCAACGTCACAAACCGGCAAACCTGAACGTCCCATTTCGTGACGAAAAGCAAGTAGATCGACGACCGCACGAACGCTGCCCGCATCATCACAATCGTCGTATCTAGTGTAATACGGACAATCCCCAACTCCCGGCGCCAAACCATACCCACCCAACAAGCATCGCGAACGATACCCCCCGATAGCATCACAGCTAGACGCCACACAGACGCACATCCAGATATTTGTTTCCCTTTCCGCCCCCCCCCCCCCCCCCCCCCCCCCCCCCCNTCCTTTCCCCCCCCCCCCCCCCCCCACCGCAACGTCAGCAAAAGAGAAAATCACCCCTCCAAACAAACGAAGCCCAATTCGTCCAGCATCCAAACGCCGCGCTGATTTCTTCCACTCCCTTCTCACGCTTCCTAGCTGAAAGAAGCAAGGAAAACGGTCGAACCGCTCGCGCGCGCGGTCTGAGAGCCGAAACGAAGCTAAGACTACCATAGCCCGGCCGTCCGATTTACCTAGCCCGCCCTCGAAAAAAGACACCAAGCTCTTTTTCTTGTCTAATACCTGGCGTCTGCCGCGTCTTGCTTCCCCAAACCTTTTTCAGTCTTTCTCGCGAAAGCTTGATTTCTTGGGGCTCCTTTGTCTCGCAACGTTCAGCCCTGCGACACCAGCGACACCTCCAAACACACAAAGAAAGACCCGCCGCGATCGACACATCGAACTGTCGCAAACCTGCTACACGCGCCCGAACAAGTCACGACAAAACCTTTTATTTTTGCCAGGAACCCTCTTTCCCC